GGTTTCAAATAAAATGTTTTAACGTCTGTTCAAATTTTACTTTTTGAAAAAATGGATAAAATAACAATTTAATACGATTAATTTTGATAATAAATATTTTCGAAAATATATTATAATTAATTCATGTATTAAAACTTTTTTGAACGTGTTTTACAAAACAAGAACAGGTAATGAAAAATTCTACTAGCATTTTATGATTTTCTTGCAGTATTTCTGATCAGATAAGGTTTCAAATAAAAGCCTGTAATTTACATTTTTATTAACCAGTTGAATAGTAATAGGTTTTTTAGATATATATGTAATGAAATTCAGTAATAAAAATATTTAAGAAATTTGAAAGAATTTAATGACCATTTAAAGAGTTTACATTCTTTAAATTGTGTTTTCTTAGTTTGCATTTTTTGGATAAATAGTTTTATTTCAAGTCCTTAAACCTTCATAGATATGGACTAAATTATCTAATATTTTCACTGCTTGTTTAAAATTATGTATTTAATAAAAACAATGATGGGTTTTGGAAAATATTGGAAAGAAAATTTATTGGAAGTGAAAATGTAATTGAAATCATATTTTTCTCGAAGTGTTTACATATAAATATGCTTATTAAGAACATTTTAATGATTACACTAAAAAGATTTGGGGTAGAACCTTTGAAAATTGTAGGAGAACAAAGACATTTTAATTGTTGAATTTTTCTTCAAAAAATTTTAATTAAAAAATATTACCGACAAAAAAAAGGGGGGGGCTAAAATCATTTTTTTTACAAAACTATTTAATAATATTCACAAAAAATACATGAAAGTTCTTAAATAAAAAATATTATGTAATATTTGTAGAATTATCGAAGGTATTGAAATCTTACAGAAGTCCCCTTAAAGTAGGAAAATCATGTCACAAATATTTTCGAACATTACTGAAACTTGAAGCAAAATCATCTGCAGTATATAAAATGCGCTCCTTTTTGACAGTATTTTGCACAGAACTGCAGAAAACATCTAAAAGTAATCTTTTTAAATGCTTCAATAAAATTTTCTTAGAACAAAATAAATTTTCTCATTTCAGCATTTTATTGTCATGGCTGCTTGAAGAAAGAAATATAGTTAGTAATTCTTAAGTCAGTTTTCAACATGAAATTAATAAAGGCTAAATTTATTAGAATTTGTTAATCTCGAGAATGTTGAAAAAATTTTCCGATTTTTTCGATATAATGGTCGGGTGACAAGTGAAAACAGTCGACGTATGTGTAAAACTGAGAACATCACTTTTTCTTTCTCAAAATCTATCAGAAATAAGAACTCTAAATGCAATAATATTTGACGACAAAAATCAATCTAATATTTTTTATTCAGAAGGCTAGTTTTAGTAATGAAAAGACTCAACGAAAAATTTCGAAACTTGAACTTAGCAGAGCATACTAGGGATTTCAAACAACAGGACATAGTATGAAGGAATAACTATGTCACATCCTTTAAAAGAGTAATCTTATGTTTATTCGTGGTGTAAGGAAGCAGTCAAATATGTTAATATTTTTAAACAAAGATTGAAATCATTATCCCCAAAATGTAACCTACAATATTATTCTAAAATCTTCCAAACCAGTGACTAGCATGCTAAGCATATTGCTATGGATGTGCAGCTCTAACTCTTGTTTAATTGTCCTCAAATAAATAGAACATATTCTCAGTGCCCAAATTAAAACCCTTGTATTATATTCGGCAAGCTATCAAACATAAAATTCCGAAACAAAACGGTTCTTACAAATATCAGATGAAATTAGTAGTATAAGCGGAGAAAGATTAGGCGAATTGTAATAAAATATTTACCTGAATTCAAGATAAAAATATCATATTTTAAAAGCTAAAGTAATAAAACGACATATAAGAAAAAAATTAAGAAATAAATTACTTAAATTTTTATTTTTGATAGAATGGGAAGTGCACAATCACATCTGCAACAAGAATTTCCGTTCAGAAGAGAAGCAGTTAATTTAAACAATACTTTATTTCTTAAAAAAATATTAAATATAAAAACACGGCTAGATAAACTTATACTTTAGAAAGAAACTATATTTCATATAGTTTAATGCATTTAAATTTTTCGATACCATTTCTCAAAACTAAAAATATTCACTTCTTTTGTGCGGCTCATCAGCGGCTGAACGGTAAAGTCGCTGAACAGTTGCAGTTGGGTTCCAGGTTCGAATCCCGCGGACGGGTTGGCTGCATGGGCGTCTTCGTGGTTTTCTCTTTATGCAACGTGTATACGAGCCAGTTCCCTTAGGAAGTTCTCCACAGAGGCATTCTTCCCCTTAGGCAGATGGCCCTCGAGGCTTTGACGTAATCACATAAACCAAACCATCTTTTGTGAGACACTGTATGATAATCAGAAAAATATTTTGTGCTGGAGAGCTTCCAACGAAAAAGTTAGTCTTTGAAGTAAATTATAAGTTTTGTTTCAACATGAGTTAGCTGAATAATAGTCATATCCTAGTGCAAGTAATGTGCACCTGAAATTTTAATTTTAGACATAAAATTAAATCTTTATAATTTCAGATTAGGGCTAAAACAAAGAAAAATTAAGTGCTAATAAATTATACACAAAATTAATAACTATAAATTGAAGGATTCCAATATTTTTCCCAGAGGACAACTCTTGATTATTGAAGATGTAAGGCTAAAGAAGAAACCCTTCATGCCTTTTTAATACCCTGTTGCGCAGAAAATTTTCCATAGACAAAGGCCAATAAGTCAAGAAGAGGTACGTTGCTGTCAGAAGTATTTAGTTTAAGCAAGGAGCTAATTCAAAGAGGCCTGTTATTGAAAATAAAGAGTTAAAAATATGATGAAGTATAACAAAGCATGGCATATGAGAAAAATAGACGAGGAGAGGCTCTTTTAAGAACAGTTTACAGGCGGTTTAAAACTGAAATTATAGTTTATCGTAATTTTACACAGCAATAAAATATTATAAGTATACTTTTAAAATTTACTTTCTTTAAAGTGGTGATAGTCAGCTTCAGACCTATGGGCTGAAACGTCTAATTGGGATCGTTTGCTGAGGCTTGCTGCAAGATTAATAACTTTTATTTTTATTGACCACGGACTTTCCGATACGTGTATGTCTTCATATACATTTTATTCTGATAACGTACAGTGAACGTATAGCTTTCTGACAGCGAAGGCGCGATAACAAATAAAAACTGATCAGGTGAAAGTCCTGCAGGAACTCATGTTAATCAACAAGTTGACCAAATCTCTTGATTTGTTGAACTTGGTTATTATGAACTCCCGCAAGTATTTTTATTAACTTGTATTATATTAAAATTAACAGTTTGACATTCTTGTTCCATATTATTATATTAAAATTAAAAGATGGGACATTTTATAGGAAAATATATTCCAAATGGCATTTTGAGATTTTCTTATGAGTGTCATTCTGTATATGGTCTCTGCGTTGATCTATCTGCAGAAAGTGTGCAATGCTGCCTTAAAGTTCTGTTTTGAAGTAACCGTTGTTTATTATGTGAGAATTCATTCTAAAATATACGTTAAACAAAGTATACTGTGCGATCTGCGGCATCAGATTGTCTTATATCAACCCTCACGTGTACGGAAATTGTCCGCCATTGATTTAACGCTCGTAATTTGATCGTTCAAAAAACGTTTTCTTGTCTTTTTCCTGATGAATCGAGAACCAGTTTTTCTTGATTGCTTTCATAGCTGAATCAAAAAAGAAGGAAATTTTTTAGATAAGTATAGTTCTTTTTAGATATTAAAGAGTTTTGATGTCGCCAAGAAAATGTATAAATAGCCAAACCTGGAAGTTCAGAATTGATACTCACAATCTTGTACTGCACCATATCCTTGTTATCGATCAACTATATTTCCTTTTCTTATCTTTTTATTTTTGTTTTATTTGCACTTTTACTGATAAGACCTCTTTCCTTCCCTTTCACCCGCTGCCTTTTATGCCTCCATGTTTTTCTCTTTTCTCTTTCTCTTGTCTTATCTGAAAAGCAGACGGCTCTACATAGTCGTGTGCTATTGGTATTACTTTTCACGATACACTCTCATAATAACCACATTTATCTCATTTTTCTTCAAAAAAAATGTTGTCCACCAACTTTGTATAAAAGATCGCTCGTTTCGAACGAGGGTATTGCAATATTTTTTGTAGCTTAGTTAGAGTGTCAGGAAAACAAACGCACACTTTCAAGCTCTTATAATAATCTTTCATTCTTTCTAGCTGTATTAAGATAAAAGTTGGAAACATGTTGTAACAGAATATGTCATAAGATTATCAGATCGGTAGTTTTATTGAAACGTTTTTGTCGTGTATATAAAGTAAGAACGAAATCACAGGGAGTTCAAAAATTAATTTTGAATGTATCGTAAAGTCAGGTTTCTTTCTTAGAGCTTTTTAAAAGCCGCATAATTTTTCTCTTCCTTCCCCCCTTTTTAAAATTTTTTTTTCATTGAATTAATTATAGGCATGGCAGTAATAATAAAGCATCAGTTTTGCAATCTACTCTTCGTTTTAATTAAAATAAAATCTTCAATAGCAACATTTTACTTCTAAAAAATACTGCAATATGCTAAAGCGCATACCTCTAAATTAGTTAACATTTATTACTAGTATTTTTTCATCCTCTGTTACTGGCTCATTAGTTATTATACCGTTGCACTCCTATTTTTATTGCGACTTAATATACATGAATAATCTGTGTTTTAAGAATGTTTCTGTCGAAGTTGAAAATTAAGCAGTATGATCTCTTTTATCAATATTAAGCTATGATTAGTTTTACTTATATTTATTTATTTATTTACTTTATTTTATTTATTTATTTATTATTAATAGCAAAGGAGGAAACTGGGATTTATAAGCCAGTGTGGTTAAATTTAAGACACTAAGCATTTTAAATATTATTTTTAGTATCATCGATATTATATACTTTATTGTACGCGAGAGTACTAATGATAAACACTTTTTTTTTATTACAGCAGTTTGAAGATGAAAAATTTGGAATTCAGCAAAAATCACTTCTTTCTTCCTGTGGTATGTAAGAACTAAATAGTAAATACGCGAGGCTTTTGATATTATTACTATTTAATATAAGCATGTATTACATATATGTACACTGTAATGCCGTCCTTATTTAGTTCTGTAGAAATATCCATACAGAAAGTTAAAAAGAAAAACATTAAAAAAAAAAACTAAGCTTTTAAATGAGAAGTTCCTGAAGGTAAATATAATTGGCCTTTTTCGAGGCTACACTTTATTTTCTTGAAATATTTTTTAAAGTTAAGAATCTTATCTTTGTTTAATTTAAAAAACCTTTTCAAATTTTGCCCAGTTTTTGAGAAAAGAGCCTTTTTCTTTAATTACTATGTTTGATTAAAATTTTCTGCATATATTATTTATGTCAGCCTCTCTCTACTACATTTAATAAAATAATAGTATGAGCACATATGAATCTCTCTGTATTCAAAACTAGATGACAAAAATGCTTTAAAAATAAGATATTTTTAAATAAGAATGGAATTATATGACTGTGCACTGCTCTAGATGTGGAAAAAAGTGTTGATTAATTTCATACTAAAAGCAAGCAATGAATCTCTTTGAGCAAAGTTTGAAGAACAGGAGAGTATAGCTAAGGAGATTAAATGTGCCGCTTTTGACTAATTTCTTACTGACGCTTTTTTTAAAAATTACAACCGTTTTTAGTGCTACTGGTTACGTTTCCCTATCTTCATTCATCCGCCGTACGTAAAATTCTGAACATTATTTTGTAGCTGAAACAATGCATGGTTAATTTGAAAAAATTCTATAAAGTGTCATCCAGTTCCAAATAATGCAAAAGTAAGTTGAATGAAATATGTACTTCATGAATGCACCAAAGTTCACATTCAGAATCCACTCAGATGATTGTGAGTTTGATTATTCTTTTCTGATAAATTATGAAAAGAAAACTGCTTTAATCTACAGAAGCTCAGGAAAAATCTGAGATTTGGCAGATGAATGCGTGAGATGAATTTAAGAACATGTCCTTGCAGTAAAATTATTAACAAGAGACATGACACTAAATTCAAAATTTCTTGGCCTATGCAGTAGCAGGATTAGAAAGAAAGAAAAGGAGTTCTAATATTTGACGTTACAGGAGATCCATTTAAGAGACCCATTTTCAAACCAACTTTAATGCTCATATGTCTAATTCAAATGTGAAAAATATGACTGCAGAATTTTAATTCAATTACTATCACACGCCATGCAAAGTCTTCCTCACTTTTGGGCACCAGATTCATCATAATCTTTAAACTGAAAGTGCTGTATTATAAATAGTGGATATAAAATAAAATAGATGGCTCCCATTTAGATTCAGATTCAAAGTCACTTCTGAATTCTTTGAAGAACAGCAAAATTAATAGTATCGTTCTGCTATAACTTGGCATTAGCTTGAAAGATATACTGGTTTTACAGAGAATTTAAAAAAATTATACTTATGCGAAGATGGCAACTGTTCATCGAGAACTCAAATATTCAACAATATATTCTAAACAACTAATCAGAAACAAGATAAAGGAGGAGGCATTAAAATGATATCAAACAAGAATGGGATTTTTCTGAGAATAGAATATTTATCTAGAAATATTTAAACCGGTTTTCCTTGGGAAGAAACTCGAATGACTATTTATGGCAAATTTCTTGATTACTGCAATAAAACCTTAAAGAAAATTAAATTAAATTTAATTGTTTTAATTCTAAAGCAAAAACACTTATAACGTATATGAAATTGCATTTACAAAAGCATTATAGGTAAAGAAATTCGTCAGGGGAAGCTCCTTTTATGCAATAATTCTGCCAGAAAAAAAAATTAGCAGAAATAACGATATTTGTTATTAAAAATACTGAAATTGTCATAATCTCAAAATAATAACTATGAAGTTTTTAATTCTGCACTGCTTTGCACTTCAATTTTAGAGGGACTGCTGTTTAGGATAATTTTTTCTCTTCCGCGGATGGCAGTTTTCTTCCTATTTCAAGGGTTTCAGTTTCGAATGAATTATTCCATAGCCATCATTTACAGCACGAAGTTCAACCTTCGTTTCGAATTATTTTGTTATACTTGTTTCCATTTTGATCACGATCATTTCTAATCATTTTTCTGAATGATCCCTATTATTTCTACTGCATGTTTTGTTATATAATGAAAATGCTTGAATTAAAATTTAAGGAATTCGTTTTGAAGCCTGGCTTTTGAGACTCCTTCAGTTTTCGTAGCAGTAAATTTTGCATATCAGACCAAAAGTCAAATGTTGTTAAACTGAAATACAGCTAGATATTTTAACAAAGTTTTTTGATTTAAGATTTATTATCTCTTTTCGAGTTTATTTTGAAGTTCAGCTATTATAAATACCATGTTACGAATTATTTATAATATATTCATCCCTAATTTATTTATAAAGCAATTTTCTCTTTAATATGTAGAGGTAGGTGATACTGAATATAAAAGCACGTATTTCTCAAAGCTTTTTGAAGTAATACATGAAATCTTTTTCAGATTTTCCCAAAACTGTTTATGATTTTAAAGAAAAACGAGTATGAAAATGGGTAAACGAAACATCAAATTTGAAAATGGATTAAAAGCAATTAAAATCAGAAAATGGATACGAAAGCAACAAGTTGAAGAAACAATGGCTGGTAATGTGTTGTATGGTGAGTTATATATTTTTTCCTAACATTAGTAATGTTGGCACAAATGTACTTAAATGTATAGTGTAATTTGAACATATAATACATACAACTCATTTAATTTTCGCATATTTGTTCAATGTTAAAAAATAACACCACCAATGTCTTTTCATACTAATATGCCATTTCTTAGATGTACTGTACATATACTGTGAATAATCATATACCATGTATCTTTTTAAGCTAGCCATTTTTCTGTATGTTCTATTGTAATTTCATGTTCACCTTGTTAACAGACTAGGGATGTACTGAAATGTAGCATATTCCATGCTGCTTACAATAAACAAAGTTTACAAGTACAATAAAGTAATCCATGCAAAAAATTTTGTTTTGTAAGTTATGTAAAATGTTAAATTAGCACCATTTTACAGATGATGCATTATGACAAAGCACATTAAGCAATCACGCATTATGATAATACATATTAGACAATGATTCATTATAACAATACAAATCAGACATTTTAAAGAGACATACATTTTTAACTATAAATTCTTAATTAATAATTCACCAAATTCACATTTTCCATCCATTATTTCAGTCTAATTCATTAACTAAATTAAAATTATTCCTTATTAGATATGGTTGCTGCAACTTTTGAAGAAACAAGAAATCGAAATTGTTTTACTTTCTTGTTTGCATAAACGTTTGTATTACCTTTTTTAGTTTGTATTAACTTTAATAAAGGGAAAGCTACTGACAAGTAGGAGAATTAGGCACTTTACCTGTAGAGTAACAGAAGTCTTCAGGAGATAGAATGAGAAGTAAATACACGATACACTTAAATTGCATTTCGCAAAAGTCCTGAGGATTTTGAAAGGGATAACATACACATTATTGCATTTAGCAGAAGTGCTCGGGAGTTTGAAACAGATGGCATACACGTGATATTCATGTTTATATAAAACATATGTACACTGTGTAAAATAAACGAACCTGTTCTAATATACTACATGTTGTGATGATCCAAAAACATAGTTGTAACTATTTACATGTTAAGATGCGCTTTTTTCTTGATAACTATTCAGGTCTTGAGGTAAATTGACAATTCTAGTCTTAGCATCATTGAACATGCTGAGAGTTTCGTATTCTCTTCAATTTGGTCAATTACTTTGAATTCCGGAGTTTTCATAGCTTCAGAATATGTTCTGCTGGTTATAATTCTATCCGTATGTTTAATGGGAGCTTTAGTTGATTATCTTTCTTATTCTCAAGGTAGAAGAGACTGCCCTGTAACTGACCGCATATAATCATTTGCAGCCTGCACATTTAAGGTGCTCTGTTTTGTCTTTGAGACAAACTCTAGATTCATGCTCTTTCCCACTGCGAACGCGGCGAGGGGGGATGCTTGCATGAGTGCTGCGCATGGAAAAACGCATATATTGAAGATTAAGAATAATTTTAGCTTCGTCGCTTTTCTCTAACGTGACCACTGTGGGAAGGGTTTCTATACCTTCACCTTTAAAGGGTAGTCTGGGGGTAGGCAATCCCAGACCCAAATGAAGTGATTATAATATGAATCATTACTTATAATGAAATCATAAATGCTAAATGTTCGTCTATTTGCTTTTAGTCTGGGAACCATTACAAATACATTAGGAGTTTAAAGAGCAAGATTTCTTGAAAAATTATCTTTGTCTTGATCGAAAAATGAGCTTGGGCCTTCAGATTACAGACTTGATATGCTGACCACTACACTATAGTATGTGAAAAATGGCTTTAATTATTGACAAATTTTTATAACTCCCGTTCAAAGAGTTATATGTATATTACTTATTACTATCATGTGTTCTGTTACGCTTTACAATACATTTTTTCTAAAGTTTCTTAAATACATCATTTTAAATTTACTTTAATGTAATTAACCTGAGCAGTATTTAAGAATTCATGACACATATAGTTGTACAAAATTTTTCCTTGATTTGCTATGGTCTGCAAGAAACAACATTTCTTGATGTATTAGCGTGTACTTTCAGTATCAAATCCTTATTATTGAAAACAGCTTCCCGAATCCGTATAAAATATAAATTTGCCTGAGATTACTTTCATCTATAAAATTTTGAAACACTTATTGAATATAATAGTTTATTTTCTGTGAGAAAATGCAGCAGACTAGCTTTTATTATCAGAATTGCTTGCTTTTGCAAAGTCATTGCAAACAATGGCGGGAGGGACACAGGAGATTTCTTAACTATTTCCCGTTTGTTCTGTTAGATCTTTTAGAAAACTATACTTTTGTTTTCTGTTCACAACTCTTCTATAGAATTAATGACCGAGAGTAAGTACATATGATTTAAGTTAGTATTTCTCTAAAGGTTGAAATAAATGATTAAATAAACTGAACAGCTCATCATTTTTAAATGTAACAACACATTCTTACATTAGGTTTGCATAAACACACATTTCAAAAAATCCTCATGTCTCATCCCAAAAATTTGCTTTAAATATTAATATTTACTGACATTTCTGTAATGAAATCATAAGTGAATAAACGGTGAACAAAATAAATATAGCTGGCTATAGTCTACATGCCTAGTCTTACCTACCTAAATGGATTTAAAGAACCATTGTATTTCTGTCCATTTCATAACGAAAAAGCGTAACAAGAACGGTCTAACAAGAAGCCAAAGAACGTCAGAATGAATAATTTCCGTAATTTCTTCAATCTCTTTGTAATGAGTAAGTGTAGTGTAAGAGAATAAGAATTGTGCAATGAGTAAATGCAGTGCAAGAGAATAACTGCAGCGGAAGAGAATAGCATTCAGTGTAAGAGAATAAAACTCTAGCTTGAATTTTTGACCTAATACACAAAGCCACAATGCCACCAAGCTGGTGGAGGTGGTTAAATGCATACAAAATTGTGAGTACTTGATAACTGTTGCTCCCTTCTAGGCTTCCTGTAATTTGTGAATTACTTGCAAAAATATCTATTCCCTGTTTTTACAACGCTTACATTTTGTCATTATCCAGAAGGCTTACAAGTTTACATTTTCTTTTACAAATCAAAAATCTGTAAAACCAGTTTTTATGGGGAGCTTGTAAACTGCATTCAGAAAATCGTGGCACTTTAGAGCTTATGGTATAAATTTTGTTAATTTCTCAGCTACTTTTTTTCGATGATTAAGATTATAATAATTAAATAAATTAAAAAAGTACTATATGCGTATTCTTGATTGCTTGACAAAAGAACTAAATGTAGTTCGCTTTCGGTAACTTTCAGCTTAATATTATTTGAATGAATTCGTGTACTTTGGGTAAAGGAATTTTAGAAGTGCTTCCAAAGCCTCAGTATCGTTTTGAAAGATATAGCACATTTTAAAATGTGTTCATAGGATGTTTAAAATTCACTTCTATGTATTTAGTGTTTATACCTTCCCGCCAAATACAAACAGCAATTAACTTCACTCTTATTTCATGCAAAAATTATGTTCTGAATTTTTTTTAATTTGTACTGAAAAAGGTGTGCAAACATGCAAAATTTACTACTTGCTATTAAACATTTCACTTTATTATCACACGAATTAAAAAATGTATAACACAACATTCAATCAGTTAATTCATAAGTGTGATTTTTAACAAATATGATGATTAAAATAATTGAAAATAGGGTTTTAATTATCAGAAGATACCTCAAGGAATGATAATTTTGAGTGTCCCCTTTACTTTTTTTTTTTTTTTTTTTGTTCTTTATCAGTTGTTTTCTTTCTGGTTTATTTTCTGTCATCTGTGTAAGTAGGCACATGTGGAATTTTTATGCACGACTGATTTTTCTAAAGAAATATTTAATGCTCATCAACTTCAAAGAAACTTATGCAGTGCATTTTTTAAAAACCCAAAACATACGTATTTATCAGAAATAGGAAAGGCAACTTATAAGTAATCAGCTTTCCTTGAAATGATGGATAAAAGATTTATAGGTGAATACAAAATACGATATTAAACAAACGTAGCGTCAAATGGGGATAACCAGACAGAAGACAGAAAATAAAATCTTTGAATGTAAAGAAAAGGTGGTGCAGAAAATGTTTATTTACAAGTTGAAACCAGTTTCTTAGCATATAGGAAATCTACAGGCATCCATAAAAGTACTCTGTGTTATACTTACATTGTAGGTCTTCCTTTCCCTCTATTAACGTATTATTTCCTTTGTTTTTCTTGTTTCTGGCTCTTGTTGGTAGGAGATGATGTTACTGTACTTTCATGTTCCTCACGGATTAATCTGTTCCACATAATAATTGCTCGTTTATTGGCAAAATGCTAGCTTTCAGACTTGCTCTACTGTTGCTGACAAAAGTTTCCTTTGAGACTTTGAGGCTATTGGCTTGCAGCACTCCATCTGATAAAAAATATGCTTGACACTTAAAATGCAATAAATTGAAACTAGTCTTATGCAAAATTTTAAACACTCTTTTAAGATTCAAAAGGGAGAACAAAAACTGAAATACAATTTATTCATGTAAGTTTTGATCCTTTCTTTGCATGTGCAACATTTGTGTATACTATAGCACCAAATATGTATGACATTGAAAACGAGTTCAGTCAATGAATCTCTCTCATGTACATCTAATTAATCTTCAAAGATATGGGTAAACAGAATCACTAATTATAAAACACTTATCTATTTATAACAACTTTATTTCTATCTTTATTTTACAGTCTTGTGTCTCTCCAAATACTAGCACAATTTAGAATAAAGACATGTCCTGATTTTAAAAATTCTTTGTGTGTTTGAAAGGGCAAACATAGAATTTTCAAACTACTTTTTTATTGTATTTATTTATTTTCTCTTAAAATTAGTGCAACATATTTTATGTACTATATTTTGGTATCTAAATATTTTTTAATTATTATTATGTGAAAGATAAGCGTAAATTCGACGTTTCGCCTTTCATTAACATTAGATATAAAACTATTGCTTTCCTTTTAAGAAAGATCTGCTGCTTCATTATATTCAATTTAATCTATTTTCTGTAACCCCAAGTACTTTTTAATTCTTTACTGACGAAAAAACAGATAAAATCGGTTTTTCTCATCGTGTGCATTTTGTCGTTGCTTTCTTCCGCATAATCGATTCTTTTCATGAACATCTTGTAAAGTGCCCAAAAGATTCTAAATGCTAAATCCACTTTCTTAAAATGTCCCTGATATTTACGACGCATATGACCAAGTACTTAACCAAGTAAATAGCTATTATTCCTGTGTTCATACATAACTGTAGAAAATTTAGCAATTAATTTTCAGAAGAGCTATATACACATTAGTCGATGAGTAGTAACTGTATGAACATTGACGCAGACACATAACTATATGTATGTCTACTTCTTATCTTTTAGCTGTGCTGTATCTCGTGCTATATCGTGAAGTATCAGAACTTAGGTTAGGTGTAGCGTGGACAAATAAAGCCATTGAAAAGTTACTATAATATGAACAATTCCCATAAATATCCAATACTATTTCTTCCAAATTTCCGTGACTAAAAATACATTTTAATTTTATATTAAGATCATATTTGATTTTATTTGATTATTAAGATCATAATTTCAAACTAAGATCTGCTTAAGTAATGAAGAACTAGATGATAAAAATTGATAATATTTTGTTAATAGTTCAAAAATGAAAATCAAACACAAATCGTCAGCATTCGTTTCATTGTGTACATAAGTTTCAATTTGTAAAGGGGAAAAGTGCAGAATATTAAAGGATGCAAATGCAATCTTTTTAAACATCCCTAATGAAGAAGAAAATTAGAATTACTGTTTATCACATTATATGAATGATTAATGTGCCTTATAAATATTTCTAATGGCCACAAAATTAATGTATTAACTTAAAAGATCTGCACTTGCTTTGAGAAGATCTTTATTTTTTGTTGTTAAGCAATTTAACAAATCATAAATTTTCTGATGAAAATTGGAAAATAATTTTTTCAACCTTAATCATACTCTATATAAAATGACAGATAAATTATGCATATTTACATAATATGTATACTGCTATTAATTTATTCCGGTAAATTCAAGAAGAAAATTTAAATATCCAAACAGCAACGAATTATCGTTTCTCCACTAGAAAATCTAAATTGGTAACTGATAATGTGTACTTTCAAAACTTTGATTACTAATCTATATTCCATCTATATAGCCAGATATAGTAAATAATCATGTAAACGTATGTTAAAAATGTTTTTCTAAAACTCTTTTTTGAAATTGAAATATAAATTATAAATGTATAATCTGATTTCAGCCAGTGACATAAAACAAAAACAAATATAATCAGGAAGTGCTTAATCACAGTTTGCAATGCACTAATTTCATCCTGCATAGGATGGGAAAAATCGCCCCTTCAATGAACAAACAAAAGTGTTTTAACTCATTAAGTTTGTCACTTCAAGCAAAGATCAAGTGACATATCTCACTTCTCAGAAGGACGAAAGAAAGGGCTTGGTCCTTTTTAGTTAAAAATGAAACCAAAGTATTTCTTTTACATATTCATGAATTTCTATTAAGGCTTGAATTACTCATCATAAGGCAATCCACATTACCTTATTGTAAGGAATATAAAATGGATTTTAAAAAATATTAAGAATAGAAAAGTAACAGAATATAGTGCGGTGCAAAATAAACTTTGATAAAATGGGCAGGTCCTCACAAGGGAATCTGTGTAACTACTTGCTGATTGCTGTGGGTTGTTTAAATAAAATAGCATATAAAAACCTCCCTTTCTTATCCAAGATGACTGGCTTTTAGTATGGTATGAATAGATGAGGTTATTAATTATCATTTATTGTCTTAAGTTCTTCATTGTTGCATAATTAAAATAAAAACATACATACACAAAATTCAAGTTCTACACAGCCCTACAATGAAGCCAGTTCATAGTTAACCCTCCTGGGGGGACTAAATTCTGTTAGGAGCATACCTAGGGGAACAACAGGTGTGTGTTATCACTACTCGTATCCTTCTTAACAAGAGGATGCAAGGAGTAATACACATAGTATAATTCTCGTGTTGGAGTACAGCAAAAATATAGCTTCGTGTATTAAGAATCCGATATTATGGCCAGATTGCAAAACGCGGTTTGGGGACATACATAAACAATTTTGAAAGATAAAACTATGGAAAGAAGGAAAGGGTAAGATAGGAAAGGAGCCAGATTGGAAGAAAATAAAACTCGGGAGTAATTTGCCACAATTAAATTTAGAGTCTTCATCGTGTTAAAAGTCATACCCGGATTACAAATTACTTTTTAAAAAGGTTTAAAATAATCTTAGTGAATAATTTGGAAAACAAAAAGTAATTAATTTTTAATAGCAGAAGGTATTTTATTATTTCTAAAAGTTAATTTAAATTCGTTTCCTGGGTTAAAAGGTCGCAGCTTAGCAGAATGGAAAATTTCTGAATTCTTTATAATAAGAAAATTTGGTTTATCTATTTCAAAAGTTACATCAAAATGTCGTTTCAAAATTTTTCGTTTCAAAAGAGGAGAAAGTTTTCTGGTATTTTGATATTGAAGTTTCTCATATGTTAATAAATCACCAGGTTTAAAATTACTTGCTTTAAAATGGGTATCATATTTTTGTATATTTTTACATTATGGTAATCATCAGAGCTTCTATGAGCCATTTTTGTATCTTCTTCAATTGGTGGCTATAGATCTTTATTTTCAAGGCATGAATTATGTGGTTATTTTCCAAACATTAAATAAGATGGTGGGAATTTTGTTGTAGAATGTGGTGTATTGTTATATTCTTCAGTAACCTGAGGCAACAATTTTGTCTTGCGATTTTACCTTGATAAGAATTTAATTTACATTTTAATATAGTTATAGTAGTTTGATTGACTTTTTCTACTTTGCCATTAGCTTGTGGTCTACTAGCATGAAGAGGTAAAGACAGCATTTCAATCACTTAAAATTTTCTTTGGGACCTGAATTTGAAAATTTTACCTTAAGCAATTTATGTAAGTATCAGTAGTAATATTTTTAGAAACAAATGTTCATATATAACGAGTAGCATGATCCATAATAATGTGAAGATACCTTTTAGTAGAAGTATAGTAATTTAAACCACCAACACTATCAATAGATGACAATTCAAAAGATGTACATTTATGCATGGTAGTGGCTTGCATTAAACCAAATTTGTTTTCTTATTTTTCTGATGAAACTGAACATTCTTCACAATGTTTACAATAACTTCTAGTATCTTGTGCACTGCCTGATCTTTAATATTGAGAAGATAATATATTTAGCATCGAGGATATACCAGTGAGACCAAATTCTATATGAACTTTTTTAAGTGATTTAGTGCAAACAGATATTGGCATTACAACCTTATGCATGCCTTGCTTCTTTATAGGTAACATATTATTAATTTTCTTAAACTTACGGTTACAAGCATTATCCAGATTTTAATGATCTTCAATTTCTTTCAATAGTAATAAATTAGGTTGTATACACAAATGTTGACAAATAAGATTCCTGGCTCATATCAGCTTGAACATTAATAGAAGCTTTTTTTAGATTTTATATCAAAATCATACTTAGGTAATTTTAAAGACTATCGAAATAATCTACTATAGGATGTTTTATACTCTAAAGCCAAACTAAAGTTGCATGATCAGTATGCACAGTAAAATCACTTCCATGCAAATAGTGATCAAATTTATCTATAGCGCCTATAACTGCTAAAATTTCCAATTTGGTAATTGCATGATGTTTTTCATAACATCCAGTTTTCTAATATGGAAAGTTATAGGTTGTAAATTACTATCTGGGTTCTCTTGTTTTAAAACTGCACCAACAGCTTATTTGTGGGTTTCTAAAAATACAAGACAGAGATATTTTGAATTAGATAGTATTAATTAAAGCATCTTTCAAACTTTGAAAGGCTGTTTGACGTTCATTTGTCCATTTATTAGTTTAGTTGACCATTAGAGTATCTTTTTTCAGGAATTTTGCTAGAAAGGCTGAAATTTTTATATAACTTTGAATAAATTTATGATACATATTAATCCATCTTAAGAATCTTTGTAATTATTTAACATTTTAGGGGGTTAATTTTTTAATAATTTCAATATTCACATTACTTATTAAGTGACACTTTGAATGTTTTAATTTTATATTTTCTTTTTCATATAATTGAATATTATATGAAGATGTTCTAAATGTTTTGCATTATTTTGGGAGAATAGTATGATGTTATTAAAACAACTTAAAGCTAAATTAATTTGATATTTATTTCAAATTTGTCTCTTTGAAAAACAACTGTGAAATTTTTACAACCAAAAAGTAATCTGTTGAATTCGTAAACACCAAAATTTATTATAAATGCAAAATTTATTATAAATTATAAATGTTTTTTATTTAACATTATATGGCAATAATCAGATGTAGAGAAAATTTTTGCGTTCATGCAATCGGAATCTGGTTTCGTTATTTGGTTAAATTTCCTATAATCCATACATAATATAGTTTTTGCATTTTCATCTCTTAGCTAAATTTACAATAGCTAAATGATGGTTTTATGATACCTGCATGTAATAATTCTTCTGTTTGTTTTATAAGTTCATTATTACACATATGGTCCATAAGCTACAGGGAGCTTTTAAGTTAATATTACTTTTGGTGGTTCAATATTGCTATAACCCATATCATATTTACTTTTTGCAAATATATGACTATAATTATTAAATAATTCTCCCAAATGGCCCTTTACACAGGAAGTTTCACACTCATTCTTTTCACGTTATTAACACAGTCCTTTTTATTTTCAGTATTTTCACTTAAATATAAGAAATTACTCTTAAACAGCTTATTAATTTCATCCTTTACTTATAATCCTCTTAAACTGATATGTCTCTTAGTCAGCATAGTTCAGTTGAAATTTAAGTTAAGAAACACAAGATGAAGACAATAATAAATACCTTATTTTAAGTTATCTTAATTTACAATATGAAATGTCACATCTTTACTTAATCTTCCAATTTTGCATGACATTTTAATTAATTTAGGAAACAGGAAGACCTTCATATAAAGATAATAATTTTCTTAAAGTTTCAAAATTATCAATATAATTCTCAGAAAGTATTCTCGGAAATTATCTTAACCTGACTACCTGTATCTATAATAATAGGAGAATTATTATTCCGTACCTTAACATTTAACTTAAAATGCTGTCATTTTTAAATGAAGTTGATTTTAATAGGATGGAAGTGAATTATAATTTAATGCCGGATAGTGTGAATTTAAATATCTCTGGTGGTGGCTGAAAATTTCCAGACCGTATTTTTAGACAAATAAGACCTAGGGTAGAATGGTCTTCAAATATTATATACTTTGGATAATTAAATAGACTAGAGTTCTGCTTAAGAACAGTAAATCTGGGCACATTACTGGTACTTCCTGGTTATTGAGGTGAACTTGAAACTGGAAATAACTTTCGTGCTAGGGAAATCAAATTTGAAAGCGAGTTTATTTTTGGAACTGACAGTACCATATGATATTGCTCTGGCAAAGCTTGTGTGTAGACTTAATAAGAATTTTACCACTTAAATATAATACAGAAGCTAATTTTGATTTTTTGGCGGAAATACTTATCAATAGCTTTAAATTTGTTTTAGTTACCAAAACAAAGTTATCAGATGTAATATGTTCCGAACTAGAAAAGTAAGTTAAAAATTTTTCTGTTAATATATTCCAGTCTTCAGTTTCAACACATTCTAAGATATAAAATGACAAGGCCTCTCCTTTTCAAAAATTTGGAAATATAGTTAACTTGTCTTTCGCCAGAAACTTTTGATGGATCAAATACCAAACAGATAAATTTATCCTTGTCTATAGAAATAATTTTGAATTTGTTTCGACATTTTTAAGGTTTTTGACCTTATTTGCACTTACAGTTTTGTCAAAGAATCAATAAATTTCTTAACTTAAACATATAAAAAATAACACTAAAAGTTTTTCAAGCAACTCATGAAGCAACATTAAAATTACTCACTTAGATATTCAAAATTATTTAAAATGAAATACTGCATTATTACACTTGTCGAACTGTAATAAATCATAGGAGGAATCATCATCATCCTAAATATTTTTCACTCTCTTGAAATAATACTAATTTTGAACACCAAATATAATGAGTTCACGGGACAATTTTTATTTTTGACGACAAGAACAAATCTGATGATTCACTCGATTATATTTTAATTCACGTACGTTTCTTGCCGCACACTTCACTATTCCGTACAACACACTTTCGATTCATCTATGGGTGACCTTGACCTAATTCGAAAACACTTTTTCCTCTCTACTAAATTAGCTTGTGTTGCAGTTGTGAAGCCACATTTCATTTTACTCATTTAAATTTTTGATTTCCATATTTTGCTATTGGGATCCAGATAGGTTAAAAATCATATCTGGCTAATTAAACAGAAATAAAAGCTGTAGATACTTGATGATTTCCTTGAAGTTTTGGGACATATATTCTTCTTTTCCCATCATCCTTATGGCTACGATAAGCACCACAGTTTGATACAACTGACCATATCTCAAGGCAATGGAGCACATAGAGAGCTGAATGACAAGTGCAAGCAGAGCGAAATGAAAATCTCGGTGGTGAAAGTCAGTACGCATTTCACCAAAGAAATGTTTATAGAGTTGATATTTTTGTTTATATTCTGCTAATCGCCTTGCAGTATTTTTGAGATAGCATAACACGGATTCGTTTTCAGACGAAGCACTTTAAATTCATATATTAGTAGTTTTTAAGACATGAAGGAGATATAGCCAGATGATTTATTTACTTAATTTCAAGTAAATAAGTAAATAAATGACTTCAAGTAAATAAATAATATATATATATATTAGAAGCAATTAACCTCGTTTTAATCTCTTAATATAGGAATCTTAATGTATTTAGTTTTGAATAATGTCATAGCTTTCTAGATGGAAACAAAACCAACCCCCCCCCCCAAAAAAAAAAGTTTTCACTGGATCAGTATTCTTTTCAAAAATCAGAAAATGATTAGGTACAACAAGTTCAAAATCAAGCATTGTTTGATAGGCAAATTTTTTAATAATAAAATTTTATAGACTGTCTTAGGTTTTAAAAGTATAGTGGAGTTTAGATGACTTCTTTGAATAATGTCCCTGATCCATTCATTAGAAAGTATTCAATAAATATTATAGATCATTATCACCGTTATAAATATTATGGAATATTACGGATCACTCATCATAAATATTAGGTATGAGGAGCAATAAGAGTACATAGTAGAAAAACAAGAATGAAAAGGGTTGTTGTTTTACTGATAAAGTCGAAAACAATTTGTTAATTTTTCGTAACAGGAAATTCAGCGTAGCTGGCAACTGCATATCATTTTTCACAAATCAAAGAAAAAAAAGAGACTATTCTTTAAAAGCAAGTTAAAAACCATGGAAGAGTGGACGTAATGAAAACTAAAGCAATTAACTAATAAATTTAGAATAAGTAAACATCAAAAGACTAATTCGTCAAGAAACAAAGATGAACTAAGAAAATATGTATTTTAAATCTTAATAAAATTTCCAAGAATTGAGTAGGAAAACTGAATTATTAGAATCTGGTTCATTTGTATTTATCTGTTTCTACGTGTTAAAAGCACGGAAAAGTTCTGTTCAGTGGAATAAGATTGCATGAAAAAGCAAGGGAAATTGCTAAATGTAAATGTTATTATCTTTAAGGTATCAAATAACTAGATGGATTGGCCAAATTGAGGCACATTATTTTTTAATGTAATTTAAGCAAAATGTCTGGATATAGAACAAGTTATAGACTGGAGAACAAGTTATAGATTGGAAGAAAAAAAACTCTATGAAACTTGGATAGACTATGAAGAGAGCTAAGTTTATAACTTAGGAAAATGAGTAATTTGTTTATATTCCATTCAACATCAATATAAGTGAAAGAGGATTCAAAGGG